ATTCATGAAAATGGCAAGCTTTAGTGCATCAAGGGCACCATCAGCAGAGAAGAAAGGCAATCACAGGATGGAGAAAATGTTTGCAAATCATGTATCTGATAACAGGTTGATTTCTAGAACAGAGAGAAACAATCAAAACCAACCTGCTTCAAACACGAACAAAGGAATTGAGTAGACATTTCTCCAAAGAAGATATACAAATGGTCAATAAAGTTATTTTTTAAATGTTCAATATGTATTCATCATTAGGGAAAGACAAATTTTAAAAAAAACACCACATTGAGAGCCAGGTATTGTTATGTACACCTGTGACCCCAGCACTCAGGAAGCTAAGGAATTTACATAGCGAGGTCCTGTCTCAGAAAGAAAAAAAAAAGCCAGTTGCTGGTATAATCCTAGCTACTCAGGAGGCTGAGATCTGAGGATTGCAGTTTGAATCTAGTTTGGGCAGGAAAATCCATGAGGTTCTTATCTCCAATGGACTACAAAAAAAGCTGAAGTAGAACTGTGACTAAGTGGTAGAATGCCAGCGTTGAGTGAAAACGCTAAGGAACAGCACCCAGGCCTTGAGTTCAAGCTCCAGTACTACTTCCTCCCCCTCAATAAAAATGATCAGAAAGAAAGTGGAAGTCTCTAGATTTGAACACCTGAAATGAGACTGAGAGCTATGATCATTCATGCAAGGTTCTGTGGATGCGAAGCCCAAAGGGCCAGGGCCAGAACTGGCCTTCCCAGGGGAGGACCACCTGCTTCTGCGGGTCACCGAGAACCCCCCAGGCTGCAGGAAGAACCCCACCACAGGCCATCCCAGGGTCCCTGTGGCTGACAGCCCAGCCTGGCCAAGTTTGGGACCACCAGATTGTCCCTGAGAGGCAGAGAAGTGTGCATGGGCCCGTGTGGTAAACCTCGAAAGCCATCTGGGGAACTGGCTGAGCCAGTCCTGTGGGGGAAATGGTGGAGCCACAGCCCATGGCGTCCTGGCCAAAAGCACAGGACGGTAACACGGCACCGAGCAGGTCATGGCTCCTCTGTCTGATCTCTCAGCAGTCTCAGAAGCTCCTGAGCTTCCTCCCCCTCGAGTAAAAGCAGGGAAGGGACATATGTCCCTCCCACGGGACTGGCTCTTGTATGGATCTTCTTCTTCTTTTTTTTTTTTTTTGGTCAGTCGTGGGGCCTGAACTCTGGGCCTGGGCACTGTCCCCCAGCTCTTCAGCTCAAGGCTAGCACTCTACTACTTGCGCCACAGCACCACTTCCGGCTTTTTTCTGCTTATGTGGTGCTGAGGAATCGAACCCAGGGCTTCCTGCATGCAAGGCAAGCGCTCTACCACTGAGCCACCTTCCCAGTCCCAGATGACTCTTAGACAGATCTTGGTTGTCAGGGTCAGTATTTCAGCACCAGCTCTCCAGGGCTGGGGTGGAAGGTCACAATGGAGGACAGAAGCAAGTCAGGGACCACTCTTGGTGAATCTCTTGAGTCTGGTGAACCTGAGCGTATATGGGGGCTAACCAGGGGCCTGGGGGCCTTGCCCCAGCCAAGGCCTTGGAGCCCTGAGATCCCAAAACATAATTCCACCCCCTCCTGATTAGGAGATCCCTGCAAAGCACTGTCTGTCAGAGCTGGGGGAGCAGTCTAGACTTCACCCTCACTCCATACTCCCAAAGGAGTCACGCAGATTCTTTCTCGGGGCCCAAGGCCAGCCCCAGAAGGCTCCAGGGAGGCTATGTTCAAAGTGAGCCTCCAGCCTCCTCCCAGGGTTGAGCCACCACCTCTCACCCATCCACCACTGATCTTCACTCACACGGACATCTGGATTTCTTGGTGCCCCAACAGGTAATCATTAACCCTGGGAAGGCTGCTGGCCCTTTAAGGCTGCCCTGGGAAGAGATGACCTCCTCCTTCCCCCCCCCCCCATGGACTTTATGTCCCCAGGTGTGGGGCCACCGGGCCTGGGAGCCTAGATTACCAGAGCTGTCCAGGAAGGCCGCTGTGCAAGACCCGGCTGCCCAAGGGAAGGGCAGCAAGCTGTGTGGTGCGGGCGCTTCCCTGTCTTGCTTTGGCCTCAGCTGGGCTGTGTGCCCTGTCCACGGCTCTCTCTCTCCATGCTGCATCCCCCACACACACACCTCCTCGCAGCAGACCTCTCTGCTGGCCACCCCGCCAATGCCCATCTGTCATGGTATAAGAAGCGGAACTCTGGTAAGGGCCGCTCCAGCTGTGCCCAGCGAAGAAGCCTCTGGCCTGTAGCCTCTGACCTGCTCTGTAGGCAGAGCAGGTCAGCTTTGGGGCTCAGCCACAGCCTCTAGGCTGATCTCTGAGCCTAGAGTGTTCTTTACAAGCTCCCGGTGCCCCCCACCTCTGGAGTACTTCCCTTCCAGTGCGTAGAGCTATGCTGGTAAGATTCCCCCCATCCCCGGTGATGGGTGACCTCCCTGCGGCCAGAGAACTGTCACCTCTTCCTCAGAGCCCGGGGGAGCCCAGCGTCTGCGTGGCATATGGCCAAGTGTACCACCAAGTGAATGAACGCTGACGGTTTCACTACTTGTTTAGCTAGAGACAAGGTCTCACTATATAGCCCAGGCTGGCCTCAAACTCCTAGCGCTCTTACCTCAGCCTCCTAAATGATGGCATTACAGGCATGCAACACCATGCCTAGCTGTATTAGAGGTTTGAAACAATCAGTTCTGCACACAGAAAGGAGCTCCAGACAGAGGCATGTGCAAGAGGGTTAGCCAAGGGTGGGCCTAGGTCTTTCACCAAAATGTAAGTGACCTTGAGGGACAATCTGCCCACCTTGGCCTTTTAGGCCTGTGTCCCACAGGCCATTCGGTTAGTAAGCATCAATGAGAGGCCTGCTGTGTGCAGGGCCCTGGGGAGAATGTAGAGCCACATAGGAGAATTAGAAGGCATTGTCTCTGCCCATGGTTGTGGTTAAATGAAGCCATCTGAAATAACCTGGGAGCAATGTCAAGGAAAATCAGAAGGGAGTGGACAGATCAAACATAGGAATGAGAAGATAGAAATAAGAGAGCAGACATAATCTCAGGAGGTTTCCCCCAAGAAGTAACTCAGAACATTAGTCCCACCCACCCATTTTCATCCATCCACCCACCCATCCATTGCTACAGACATAAGCGCATGCCAGTCCCGCGGATCTGTGTCTTGCTTCAACAGTGTTTGGACGGAACAGACCCGGGGACTCCTCCTCTCCACCACCAGCTGCCTCTCCACTCACCACTTCTGACCCTTATCTTCTCGCCCATCTCCTGCTTCCAGGACCAACCAACGCAGTGTTTTTCTGTGGTTAGCTCTGTATTGACGACCAGCCATGACCTCTCAGATTGGTCAGAATTATTCCACCGAGGTGGAGGCTGCCATCAACCGCCTGGTCAGCTTGCATCTGCGGGTCTCCTACACCTGCCTCTCTCTGGGCTACTCGTTCGATCGCGACGATGTGGCTCTGGAGGGCGTGGGCGCCCAGCACCTCCTGAGGATGCAGAACCAGGATGTGCAGAAACCTTCTCAGGATGAGTGGGGTAAAACCGTGGAAGCCATGGAAGCCATCCTGGCCCTGGAGAAGAGCCTGAACCAAGCCATTGTGGATCTTCACGCCTTGAGTTCTGCTCGCACAGACCCCCATCTCTGTGACTTCCTAGAGAACCACTTCCTGGATGAAGAGGTGAAGCTCATCAAGAAGATGAGCAACCACTTAACCAACCTTTGCAGGCTGGGGGCGGCCGCTCAGGCCCAGCTGGGCAGGTATCTTTTCGAACGCCTCACCCTCAAACACAACTAGAAAACTCCAGAGGCCAGCAGCCTTTAAGGGGCCACCTCTGCCTCACCAGATATCAGGGTTTCCGCCTGAGCTTCTGCCTCCAGCCATTGGGAAACTTCCTAACTAACCATCCTGGAGTCCTTCCCAAGCCTTGGACCAAATGAAAATAAAGCTTTTTGCAGAAGAAAAAAAAAAAAAAAGGCCATCTTGGAGCCAGAAAACAATGGTCGATTGTGTGCTGGTATCTCATGCTTGTAATCCTAGCTACTGAGGAGGCTGAGATCTAAGGATAGAGGTTTGAAGCCAGCTTATTCAGGAGAGTCTGTGAGACTCTTCTCTCCAATTAATCACCAAAAATTCAGTAGAGCTGTGGCTCAAGAGGTAGAACACCAGCTACGAGTTAAGAAAAAAAAATCAAGCCAGAGTGCCAGGCTCAAGGCCAGGGGCCCATGGCTCCTGCTTGTAATCCTAGCTACTCAGAAAGCTGAGATCTAAGGATCTTGCTTTGAAGCCAGCAGAGACAGACAAATCTGAGAGACTCCTATCTCCGATGAACCTTTTTTTTCCTCCAGTTGTGGGGCCTGAACTCTGGGCCTGGGCGCTGTCCCTCAGCATTCTAGCTCAAAGCTAGCACCCTAACATTTGAACCACAGCACCGGCTTTTTTCTGCTTATGTGGTGCTGAGGAATCGAACCCAGGGTCTCATGCATGCAAGATGCAAGGCAAGCACTCTACCATTGGGCCAACTTCCCATCCAATGAGGCTTTTTAAAAGCCAGAACTGGAGGTGTGGCTCAAGTGCCACAGACATGAACAAAAAGCCCAGTGAGAGTGTAAGGCCCTGAGTTCAAGCCCCAATACCTGGCCCATCTCCTACCTTCCTCCCCTCCCCTCCAAGAAAAAAAAAAAGCCAGCCTGAGAATACATTCCTCCCCTAGAATTGCTTACACTCTCACTGGACAGTGTCTGAATTCGCATGCCACACAGCCTCATGCCAAAAGCCCAGGTGAGGGATGTCACAGGGGTGAGCCCTGCAGGAACTTCTACACCAAAACCTGCCCGGCAGATGCATGCTTTGAAGACAGCAGTAGATGCCAGCAGGGAAGAGGCAGGAGGCTGCTGGTAAAGCCCAGACACCTGGCAGGTAAACACAGTTAATGGTGACCTGTTGTTTTCTCTAGGTTCCTGGTGACCTCACCTTTGACCAACAATTTCTTGGCGCTCGCTCAGTCTGCCAAGGGGGCAAAGGGACTGGAGTAGGAAGGTAAACAGGAGGCGAGGCCAAAGGTAGCCCTGGAAGACAAAGGGCACATTCCAAAAAGTCTCACCAGCCCCAGGCCTGCGGCAGGGCCCAAAGTCCGCTGGGGAACCACACTGGTTCTCCAGCCAGCAGAAATACCATCAATTCTCCATCACCAGCTGATCACCTGGGGAAAGGATGCTTTTGGCTGACTATGAGGAGCAACTCCTCTTTCTAGTTTCCGGGACCTTCCCAAGGGCCCCCTTGTGCTGAGGTTGGCTAGGGGGCAATGGAAATTCTTACCTGGACCAGACCTTTCTTCCCAGAACCTTCTCTTAGCTGCCATTAGTTGAGGTGTCACTACCAGCCCACGTCCCTCGGCCCACACTTCCTAGGGATTGAGGGGTCCTGCAGCTATGCTGGGTTGCTATCCTACCACGGACCCCAAAAGGAAGTTTTAGAATCCCTCAGCTGCCTGGCAGGCCCTCTCTGTCACCCACAGGCTATGTGACCTTGAATGCATCAGCGAATCTCAGTGTTGTCATCTATAAAATGGGGGTGTATGTGAATTACAGGTTGTTAAACCTTTTAAAGGAAGATAATGCAATGAAATAAACTCAGGCATCATTATCTACAATACTGGGTATTACTAGAGGTCACAGGAACTTCCAGTCTTTTTTTGGTGGGGAGGAGGGCAGTCGTGGGGTTTGAACTCAGATTTTTCCCACTTGCTAGGCAGGCATTCTACCGCATGAGCCATGTCTCCAACCTGCTATTTAGAACTTCCTTCCTTCCTTTATTATTTATTTATTGCTTGCCAGTCCTGGATCTTGAGCTCTGTGACTGGGCACTATCCCTGAGCTTCTTTTGCTCAAGGCTAGCACTCTACCACTTGAGCCACAGCTTCACTTTATTGGAGATAAGAGTTTCACAGACTTTCCTTCCCAGGCTGGCTCCTAACTGTGATCCTCAGATCTCAGCCTCTTCAGTAGCTAAGCGTGAGCCACCAGCACCCAGCTAAACTTCCAGTTTTACTGATGAAGAAACTGGCCTTTTGTTTCTTTGTCTAAGACCAGGACTCGAACTCAGTATCTGACGCTTGCTTTCACTCATTAGCTGGTGCTCTAAGACCTGAGCCACACCTCCAACCCCTAACCTGGCCTTTCAGATTTGAGTTCCTAAACTTTGAAGGATACGGGTCTTTCAGGGAATCTGATAACAGATAAAGACGTTGCCCTGTAAACCTTAAAACTCATTTATGGACTCATTTCTCCCCCCTCAGTGACAGAGCAGGAGGAGAAAGATAGTCACAGGCTGAAGCTCCATGAGCCCCAAGGAAACAAGGGCAAATCCTAAGTGTCAAAAGCAAACCTCATTAAAAGAATGCCACCCCCCCTCCACAAGGCCCCGGAGGTCCCCCAAACTCCTCATTTCTCGACTCTCAACTGTGTGCACCCCTGCCCAGCCACTCCGGGTTGGTGAATTCCACTGTGGTCTTTGAAAGTCAACGGAATCTTGGAGCCCATCAGTACAAACCCCTTTATCTTTACAGATGAGAACGGCAAGCAACCCAAGGTATGCTGACTTGCTTAAAGTCACTCCGATCATCAGGACAGGAGCCAGGCAGCAAGAACTGACTCAGTCTCACGTGAGCATGCGCTGAGGACCTACTGTGGGGCCTGTGCCCCGCAGCGAGGGGAGGGGAGGGGACAGGCTGCCAAGAAAGGAGGAGCTGCCACTGGATTGGCCAAGCACGTCGAAAATCCTTGGAATGAAAGTGCACACAGGGTCACCTAGCACCTGCTTATGCAAGAGAAGTTGCAAAATCTAAATGCTCAGCAAAGGCAGGGCTGGACCATTCATTCATTTATTCATTCAACAAACATTTATTAAATCCAAGCATTAAACATGAGACCAGAGAAAGCAATCATCCAGACCAGGTGCCCGCTCACCCCTGAAAACCCACACAGGAAGAACGTCCATCTCTAAACAAAGACCGAGAATTTAGCTAGAAAGAAACGCATGGAGAACATTAAAAGGTGATACATAAGCATGGATGACGTCACCTGTAGGGGAGATGGGGGAGGGGGGGCCTCCCAGAGGAGCTGACATTTGAACTGAAGTCTAACAGGTAAGGAGGTACAGACGGCACAATGTCCCTGAAGGAGGGACCAATCAAGTTGGCCAAAGCGTGGGTTCACAGGTCGGACCAATCTGGCCAATCTGGTCATGGAGCAAGGACAAAGACAGAGTGGGAGCATTTGTTCATTCATTCATTTATTCATTCAACAAGTACCCATTGAACCCTCAGCCCTACATAAGCGAAACAGTCACCTAGATCAGGCACCAACGGCTCACGCCATTAATCCTAGCTATTCAGGAGGCTGCGATCAGAGGATCGTGGTTCAAACCCAGCCTGGGCAAGAAAGTCCATGAGACTCTTATTTCCAATGTACCACAGAAAAAATAAAAAACAGAAGTAGTGATACGGCTCAAGTGATAGAGCACCAGCCTTGAGTGCAAAAGCTAAGGGACAACACCCAGGCCCTAAGTTTAAGCCCCAGCTCTGGTACACACATTCCCCCCAGCCCCAAGAAGAAAAAAAGTCACCTAACGTTGGTATTCCCGAACTCCTAAAGAGGAAGAAAGGTGGTCTGTCTTTGAGCAGACAGGAAGCCTGGTGGTGTCGCTTGTTTAGCTGCTGGGAGGAGCAAGAATCAGAGGTCAGGCCAGACAGCGTCAAAAGAGGAACACGGAACGGAAATGCATTGAAGGTAGACACCGGAGGAGTGAGACGGGAGGAGCGCAGGCCACCGCTTCGAGTGACTGCGTGAACAGCCAGGCCCTTTGCAGATCTAGGAAGGCCATAGGTTTGCAAGGAAAACCAAGGCTGACAACACAGGACCAGGGCAGAGCCTGCTGTCCTGGGCCCACAAAGCCTCTCCCCGCTGAGAACCCTACAAGGCGGTGCAGCCGCTGGGCAGCACACAGAGCCACCGAAAGAAGGAGCAAAGGAGGCCCGGTGGGGGATGGGCGGGCTCTCAAGGTAGCCCCAGTGGCCATTAATGGCTCGCTGAGGGATCCTGGGAGCTGGGGCATGCACAGTAGACACCTTTCCATTCTCTTCTTTGGGAATTCCCCCTCTCGGAGCCTGTTCCCGGTAACCATCCTGTCTTCCCGCTCCCGCTGACCTCTGCCCAGGTGCCTCCCATCCAGCCAACAAAGGTCTGTTGCCGTCTTCTGTGTGCCAGCCAGGTGCTGGGGGCACACACAGTGAGTATGCACACGTGCCCCATTGCGCATGGTCAAGCCAGGTAGAAGTCAGCTCATAAGCAGAGAGGTCAGCAGGCAAGGGGCAAAGGACAGGAAAGACCATCACCCATGGAGAAGTCATTCACTCAACCAATAAATTGAGCACCTGCTATGTGTCAAGAGCTGTTCCAAGGAGTTAAGATGCTTCAGTGAACAGAGCAAAGTTACTCACCCTTCCAAGCCAGGCATGGTAGGGAATGCCTGTGGTCCTGGCTTCCCAGGGGGCAGAGACAAGAGAATCACCCTTGGAGGCTAGCCTAAGACCCTATCTCAAAAACAAACTAAAAGCTGGAGCTGTTGGTGACTGTCATCCTAGTTATTCCAAAGGCTGAGATCGGAGGATCATAGTTCGTAGCCAGCCCAGGCAGGAAAATCTGTGAGACTCTTATCACCAATTAATCACTAAAAAAAAAAAGCCAGAAGTAGAGCTGTAGCTCAAGTGGCAGAATGCTAGCCTTGAGCAGGGTGACGGAAGCTCAGGGACAGCATCCAGGCCTCAGGACCAACCCTGCCCCTCCACCCCCCAACACACACACCCTCACTACAAACACTAACAGGGATGCAGCTCAATAGAAGAATGCTTAAACACTTGCCTAATGAGCACAAGGCCCAAAATTCAGTCTTTAGTAGGTAGGTAGGCGGGTAGGTAGGTAGGTAGATGGGTGAATGGATGGATGGATGGATGAACAGACAGGCAGGCAGGCAGGCAGGCAGGCAGACGGACGGACAGACAGACAGACAGACAGATAGATAGATAGATACTCTGTGGCACTTAGATTCTAGCAGGGGAAACACAGACAATTCACCATGCACATCCATCCATCCATCCATACATGCACTTACAATATGAGAATGTGAGAAATTGATATGTTTAGAGAATGAGACAAGGGAAAGGGGCCATTTTCAATAGGGAGCTCAGGAAGGCTTCCCTGGGAAGTGATTGGTGGGAAAAGACTTGAAGAGGACAGCTAGGTCTGGCAGCTATCTGGAGGCAGATCTCTCCAGGCCTTGGGGAAGACTGTGCCTGTGGCCTGGGGCAGGAGCGCGGCTGTGTTTGAAGCACACTTGCTGCTCTTGGAAGGGAATCACACCAGACCTTAAAGACCTTTTGCTCTCAGCAAAGCCAGGAGCCACTGGCAGAGATTTGAGATGAAAGGTGACCTGGTCTGACCTCCGTCTTTCCTCATGAAAGGAAGTGATTGTAGGAAATGACCGGAAGAGGAGGTGCTACTTCAGGGAAAATGGTTGGGGGGGGGAGCGGGTATCTGCCTGGAGCTGTGGGGCCAGGCACAGCCACCCCCATTTGCCTTCCATGCTCCTCCATCTGCCAATGGGGTGAGGGGAGCCTTCTGCGGACCTCTCTTCCATCCTCTCCCTTTCCCCCTTTTCCTTTTGTCTTCTGCCCTACAGATTGGGGACCTGCCTTTCCAGTGCTCCTTTGACCTAGCTCTCAGCTCTTCCCCGTGAGGTTGGGGAGGGGACTGAGGCCCTGAGAGGAAATGACGCCACCCTAGCTCACCGTGAGATTGTAACCCAGGTGCCATCCAACCCAGGACACCTCAACTTCTGGTGTACACCTTGGGGTCCAGCGGCAGCAGTCCACGCCTCAGGGAAAGAAGAGCGCTGACTCTGGCCAGGTAGGGCAGAGATGGTTTGCTCAAAGAAGCTGGCTTCAGATGGCCAGGGAAAATGATCTCTACGGATGAAGAGCCCCAACCCTGTCCCTATGGAAGAGCGGGAG